TGGCCCCCGGCGTGGAGGCGCCAGCCCCATGGCCTCGGCCGTGCGTCCACCCCTCTCTGTGGACCTCTCGATGGAGCTTTGTTAGTTTCCCTCGCTCTGGCTGCGTGTGTTGTTCCCCTCTTCCTCCTCCCCTTCGCTGCCGGGGGCCCCGCAGCACCGGGGGCGATCAGAGACCTAGCAAAGCCACCCGCAGGCAGGGCCGATCCGAGCCTGCTGCAGTCGCCCCTGCAACAGGAAAAGAAATTGTCGCTGCGATGGTCCCGGCCTCCCCTGCCCCGGCCCCTGGGTGCCGCCTCCGCCTCTGCCCCGCCCCCTCTTCCGTGACTGCGGCCTCCCGCATTCCGCAGAAAAAGCTCGCAGGTGGAGGCAGGTCCCTGCGGTTGCCCTAGAGCGAGAGTAAAACGAAAGGGTGCGACTTTCTCATCTGAAACCCAGCAAGTCCCCTTCTTGGCCCAGAACCACCTGGACTCTCACTTTGCTCCACCATTCATTTAGCCAAAGTGGACAGGAATGGGTGCCTTTTAAGACTGCAGTGTACACACCGTGATGCAGATGGATTTGATCATGAACTCCACTGGAGTCAGGCAAAAATGGGGTTTTAAAAGAAAATCCCTCCTATTAGGAATTCCATCTTGAGATTTATCCATAACCTGCCCCCACCATGAAATACTTTATCCTCTTCCCCACCCCACCCCCACTTTGTCCCCATGGGTAATGCAAACTATTATGACATCATCTGGATATTATTACAATTATCAAGTGCAGGGTCTTTAGTATGGTCCTGGTATTGTGCCCGACACTGCAAACATTGAAATCTTACTTCATCCTCTCCACAGCCCATATAAGTGGTACTTATTTTTTCCATGACGGAGACACAGAAGTTAAGATTTAAAATCTGATCTGACACCAAAAGCTACTTTTATTGGCTAGAAAGATTCTATTAATTTATAAATGTTTTACAAACACTGCTGCTGCTGGATGAAGCAGGCACTTTTCAGCCTTTCCTGAGTTTGGTTGGGAGGTAACTTGCAAGTGAGAAAAGCAAAGGCAGAGGCAGAGAGGGGGGAAGTGGGATGCGTTTTTCCTCATCTAATTTTCCCTTGGAGACCAAACGTCTAGCTCTGGCTCCATCACTGACTGACCTGTTTAGCCTCAGGCATTTCAACTTTTTAGGCCTTACCTTCCTGCATTGGTTTTTAAAATAAAGAGGTTTGACTCTTGGAGGCAGCCTGCAGCCTTGGTTTTTAAGAAGCAATGGTGTCGTTGTTTTTCTAATTTTGATTTTGGTTCCAAATTTTTAAATCAGAAAATTTCACAAAAATTCAGACTTTTGGTATGTTCTGAAAAGTTGGAAGAACTGGCAACCTGTGGTCCATGGAAGGTTCTAGCAACCATCAGCCAGAGCCAAGTAGTAGGTGCCTCTTCAGACTGGGAAGATGCATTTCAGTTTTCCACAGTTCCCACCACTGCTATATGCCCCACCTCACTGGCATTTGAGGATATGGTGGACATTTGTGTTTGTAGATCTGAACTAGATAATCTCATGACCTACAGTCACGATTACCCAGATTCCTAAAAAGTATTATGAAACAAAAGAATTCCACATAAATATTTATAGTGGTAACTGATCATGGTCTTGCTGCCTAGAATCTGAGGACCAGAGTGAAGAAAGAAGATTGAGTCACTGTAGTCAAACTGCTTTTTTATGGTATTGGCATGAAAACAGACATATAGATCAAAGGTTCAGAATAAAGAGCCCAGAAATAAACCCATGTCTTTATGGGCAATTAATATTTGACAGGAGCAAGAACATATAATGGGCTAAAGAAAGTCTATTCAACAAATGGTGCTGAAAAAATTGGAAATATGCAGGCAAGAAGTGAAACTAGACCACCTTCTTACATCATATACAAGAATAAACTCAAAATGGATAAAATCTAAGACTCAAAACCATAAAACTCCTAGAAGAAAACATAGGCAGTAAAATCTCTGACATTTCTCTTCGCTATATAGAAGGAAGGGAAACGTGGGCAAGGGAAACAAAAGAAAAATAGACAGATGGGACTACATCAAACTAAAAAGTGTTTACACAGCAAAAAAAAAAAACCTATTAACAAACAAAAGGACAACCTACAGAATGGAAAAGATATTCACCAATGATACATCTGATAAGGGGTTAATATCCAAAATTTATAAAGAACTCATACAACTCAACACGAAAACAATAAAATAAGCCAGTCAGAGAAAGACAAACACCATATGATCTCACTTATATGTGGAACTTAGTGAACAAAATAGAACTTAATGAACAAAATAGAAACAGAGACATGGATACGTGGAAGACACTGACACCTGTCAGAGAGGAGGGGGGTTAGGGGACTGGATGAAAGAACATATATACATAACACATGCATGCATAGATACACAACACATAGACACAAACAACAGTGTGGTGATAGTCAGAGGGAAAGGGGGTTGAGGTGGGCCAAGGAGGGGAAAATGGCACAGAAAGAGACTTTGCTTAGGGTGATGGGCACACAATGCAGGCTGCAGATGATGTTTTATTGAGGTGTACACTTGAAACCTCTATTTTTGCAAACCAATGTCACCCCAATAAATTAAATTTAAAAAGAAAAGAAATTAAACCCCAATAAGGATAGGGAAAAAATGGGCAAAGGACCTAAGTCTCTCTCACATCAATGTTTCTCTCTCTCTCTCTCTCTCTCTCTCTCTCTTTCTCCTTCCTCTCTCTCTAAAGAAAAAATAAATTCTATTTCAATACTTACCCCAAATACAATATTTTTAAAGATAGGATTTTTGTTCTTACCAAGCTTA